ATTTGTACCAAATTAAGAAGGATCTATACGACATTATAAGTTCTAATTGGGCTTAGCTAGCTACTTAAATCGAAAAACTATATCGTAAATCTGTAATAGAACGATTAGTCGAAATCAAAGTTTGCTTTGTAACTCGTTTCTACAGATAAATGTTTTGTGTAAGTCGAACTATTATTTATTTTAATAAAATAAAGTTTTACAAAAATCCTTTTATTTTGATAGCTATCTTTTGTTTAAATATGGTTTTCATTGTAGAGTATTTAATAGTCGGCGAGTAGAGATTTCCCATTGGTGTTTTTTTTTTTTGTTTCTGCTAACGTTGGCAAAAAACAACTTTTGCACGTTTCGATTGTGTAAAGTTTTTATGGCTTTTTGATTTTTTCACTTATTGGCCCTGTCCCCAGCCGTCTCCCCGGCCCCGACCCCGTCTCCGGCCATGGCTCCGGTCTTGGTCAATGATGGGTGTTGCTGGGGCAGTTACACCCACCACTGCCACCTGCTGCCCGGAAGGCACTTAAATAATTACCAAATAATGGATGGGCCAGGCCTAACCTGAAGACACTTTGCCACTAGCTACTTGGTCCAAGTGAAAAGTGAACTCGAATTGTGGACCTGCCGCAATTGCTGCTTTATCGATAACCTGTTAGTAATGCAAATCGTGCCTAAGTGCCAGCCGGCACTGAAAACTCTTTCACTTTGGCCAACAACGTGTCGTCAGTCGGCAATTGAGGCATTGAGGCACTGAGGCAACGGTATGCAAATATTTGTGAAAAGCGAAATTCAGTAAAAGTGCCTGGAGGCTTCGGTTTGTCAATCCGAAGTCACTTTGATTTGTCGCTCCTTTTTGTAAATATTTAATGGACCAGAAGTAAGAGCAAAATCGAGTATGAGTGCTCGCCGAGATGTGTTTACATTTCAGTTTACTATGCAAACATAAGTGTAAGTAATTTCACAGGCTCAATAAAAATTTCCAGTTTCGAATGGCAAAAGGCAAAATGCATAGCCTAAGAGTATACAAGGTTTTATTTGTAAAAGCGAAATTGTAGCGAAAGTGAATTGCAAATAAAATAAATTATTATAAAGTTTAAGCAGACAAAAGTAAGCTGTGCTATATGAAAGATTTGACATGCGGATTTGAAATCTTATTTAAAGCAAGAGCTTTCTATATGCATCCTGGAAAAATAAATTTGACGATATTGTGACAAAAGGGTTTTTGATAATAAGAGGAAGAAATATAGAGAAGGGCGAAACTTTTGAAAACTGGCTCTTTACAACTTACTATTGCTATTGAGAAATTCTAAATAATATTATTTATTTTTTAAGAAATTCTCTTCTTTCATTAAAAAGATGCGATTGCTTATTATTTCAGGCAATATTTTTTTGTTTTAGTTGCAGAGTAAGAAGTGAAAGAAGTCTCTAATACTTTGTTCAGAGCGACCATCTCATGACTGACCAATAAATATGATATGAAAAATGATATGAAGCAATAGTTATTCATAGTGATCAATTGACGTACTTATGGCGCAATCAGCATAAGCCTGCAATCTAGGTCAACCTAACAATTATAGCCATGGAATATTTCCAAAGTGAAATTAATATACTGACAAAAATATTTTTAACTGTATTACTTTTTTGCTTCTCATATATTATTTACACCTATAACAAATAAAAGTTTTTAATATAAATGATTTACTACATACATATTAAACGATAAACGCGATTTGTGCTTTTCTCATTTAATACTTGTATTTTTGTTCGTCCGTTTCCCCTTTGGCTGGCCACAACGAGATTACCAGACGCGCAAGTAACTTTTATCGATAACGAATTTGCAAGTGTGGCAACTGCCACGCCCCTCTACAGCCGCCTCAAACGTTTGTAGTCCGGACAAAAATACAAAAAAAAATTGATCCGTGCAATGCGGGCTATGTATAAAAAAAAAGATGTCGAAAAAATTCTATGGAATATATAAAGTATATTCCGTGTTTTTTAACGAGTAATAAATAAAATTAAATTATATGGCGAATGCATAAAAAACGATGACCAATTTAAAAAATAAACACGTTTGCAGCAAGCATTTTTCACAAGCGAACAAGTTGCAAATAAATAAAATAAAATATGATACAAATAAATAAATACATTTTTGTGGATTGCAATGCGATTGAATTTGTTTTCAATTCATGTTCTTTTTTTTGTTCCAAATTTTTTTCTTTCTGATATTTCGTGCATATGAGAAATGTTTTACAATTTCCACTTCCCAGAACAGTAAATATTTTAAACATTTTTTTTGTTTTGTTTGTTGCCTGCCCTATCATTTATATTTCAATTTTAATTTATATGCATTTGAACACTCGCATTTGTGTGGGTATGCTGTGTGCGGGCGTGACATTCCCTCGCCCGTTTATCAGACTGATTGAAAAAGCTAATAAGTTAAATGTCCGTGTCTTTCTTGGGGGCGTGTCTAGGGACGATACACGACAAATGTAAATTAAAAAATAAAAACAAAAAAAATGCAATTGTTCAATATATTTATGGGCTATCAAATAAACTTGTATACGAGTGAATGCTATGGATGCTATGAAAAGCTACCATATTATGCATAATATATAGCATGATAGCCAACAATATAAGATTAAAGCAATATACAAGAAATATTAAAAAATATTTTTGAACCCAAAATATTTATTGTGAATATAAATAAATATAAATATACCTTAATATACAAACTAATGCCCATTATATGGGCTTATCAATCTCTGAAAGAAATACTCTACAAAATCACAACTAATAGACGCTGGTTTCAGAAGGAAAACTATCGCTACTTAGTTACAATAGTTAGTATTTTGAGAGCCGACTTTATCGATAGATTTAAAGTAATATCGTTGCTAAAGAACGATATTCTTATCTTATCTTTAAAGAAAGTAAAATTTAAAATTAAATATTTTTAGCTACAAACAATATTCTAAAGAATTTGTGTTGACATCCCTACATCTTTTTCCCGAAAACAGGGTATTTTCTAGCGAAAAGCTACTTGCCCATTATTAAATTACATTTAAAGACTCGGAGCATTGTCTTTGAAATTTTGCGGCTTGCTGTATTTACTTATGATTATAATGCTGACTCCTTGTCACACAGTCTATCTATATATATATACCCATTCCCATCTCCTTCTCCATCTCCATTCCCATTACCATTTTCAACTTCATTTCCAACTCTGTCGTTCTCTTTGGTCTGCTTGGGCTTTGCGGTGGCAAAAGTTTTGTGGTCGCTGCGCTTTGATTTAGCGATTGCGAATGCGGCTTGCAATATTTTAGCATACTAAATTAGAGCAAATGGCGGCAAATGGAAGCTGAATCCTGAGAAGCGTTGTCCAAAGTCGTTGTCTGGACAGAGGAGCAACTGGCTTGTTTGAGTGACAAATTTAAGTGCGTCGTCTAAATAACTAATGTATACGCGAACCTCTTTCCACCAACTCTCTCTCTCTCTCTCTCTCTCTCTCTCTCTCTCTCTCTCTCTCTCTCTCTCTATCTCTCTCTGTTTCTCCAGGCTGCTCATTCTTAAACAGAAAGAATAATACTTAATTCCTAGCCGCGACTTAGCTGTTGAATAAACAAGTTTTGCATTTGCTTTCATGAACTTAACTGGAAATCAGCTTGGAGAGCCAACAGGCAGCGTCATTGTCTTGGTATTTATGCCCTGACAAATGGCATACTCACTAATGCATTTGGTTAGGTAGCAAGAATTTCATTGCAGATACTTTTTTTTATTTATATCTAGTATTAAAAAGTACCTACTAGATAGAAAGGAAATATCATATACCCTTGCAGAGATTTTAGAACTTTGTCAAGGAATTCGTACGGTATTGTAGAAGTCAACTCCGATAGCATTTTCGCACATTACCACGCAATTGTCTTTACTCAAATTGCTTAAAAGAAAACACTTCTGTTTAAATCTATCAAAAAACATTTTTTCTAATTCGAATTGAATTCAAAAATAGATTGCTTAAAAACTTGGTAACAAAACAAACAAATCAAATAAAAAATTAAGATCTTTATTGTTACCCCCACTCTTTTAAAATAACTCTGTGGTTTTTCAATTTACTATTACTGCTCCTTTTTTTTTGCAAATAACCACAAATTATATCAGCAAATTTTAAACTTGACAATTGCTGCTGGAGCTGATTCTCTTTTCATTTGTTAATCCAGTGCTCAGACACCTAAGCCACACAGGCTCATGACGTCACGTTTGCAAGACACACTTTATATGTCTGTTTTCTTTTTTCAATACTCTTCATACTAAGATATAATATAAATCGGCTTAGTTTGACAAAATATAATTTTATGCTTCTTTATAAAAATCAGATATATATAGTTATATAGATCATTCGAACAAATTCTTAACGAATAATTTGTTATATAAAAACTCCGACCTAGTGTACTACACAAATGCAAGCCACATCTGGTATATGTCTGCTAGGGTATTAAATCTTCGGCACTTCGAAAACAAGTAAGGTTATGTCGATTGTAATATGTTTTGTCTATTGTCCTTCTTATAATATTTTAACAATGTAAGCTAAAATAATTAAATAATTTTTTTCATTATGACAAACTGTTTTATTTTTATTTGCTGTCTGCCCTTTCAGTAGGGTTTAAGTTGAAATATATCGGTAAATATATATACAAATTTCTGTCTGCTTCGTGTTGCATTCGCAAACGTTTTACTGGAAACGGTGTTTACCTAGTTATACAACTGAATCGTAAAATTTAATCAGAGAACACTTATAAGTTAAGCTTAATTATTCTTTAAGGCATTCTAAAAAACTGTTAGTATTCATTGCGTGGATATGTTGTGTTCAAGCAATACAAACATCTAATGGCTAACAGCTTGCCAGCTGTTCTGAACAAATCCAAGAACAAGAAACAATTTTATACTATCTCCCTAGAAATCGCCTATAAATAGCAGAAGTGCCTAAGTTTATAACTAGATTAATTTAGTCTTACGATGAAAGTTAACCAGTTGTTGTCGCCACTGTGCTTTGTGCTCTGCCTCGGATGTTTAGGCGCAAGAAATTGGGATAGTCCTTACTGTGACATTCGTCCTTGTTATTCCATGAATTTGCCCTGTAATAATAGTGGCGTGAGTTTTGAATTATACTTGGAGGAAATTGAATAATGATCTACGTTTTGATGGCATGTAGGCAATGTTGGAATGCCCCGACTCTAGCAGGCTATTGAAAGAGCGCGACTTCAGAGAGGATCTTGAGGAAACATTTAATACGCTGCGTAATGATGTAGCCGGTGGCAAAATATATAGAAATTTGCCGCCCGCAGCGCGTATGGGTAAAATGTCCTGGAACACTGAATTGGCAGAATTTGCTAGACTCGACGTCAAGCGCTGCAGAGTCGCTCCCCGACCCTGGATATGCTCGCAGAAATTCTATGCCGTTGGCCGACTAGCCGAACTTTATGGTTTTCAAACCGATAATCTAACCTCGACCATATTCGAGACCCTACAGAGCATGGCAAGTGGCTGGATGTCTCGGGTAAGCAGCATAACGCGATACCAATCATTACACTTGCCCTCCAAATATGATGAAAGGTAACTGCTACGCTGGGTGACCAAAGAAAGTCCTTTAACTCTTTCTCTCTCTTTTTTTTTTTGTGCCTTTCAGTACAAACATTTTGCAATCTGCCCTGCTACTGATCGAGCATAATACGCATTTCGGGTGCGCCGTACTCCACTACACGAGTAACCTGTATACGTATTTGATGCTCAGCTGCGTCTTTGGCGCCGACACTCAGGATGGGCAACGGATGTACAACTGGGGCGTAAGGCCCGGCATCAAGTGCCGACATCTAGACTCGACATATCAAAATCTCTGCTCGAGTGAAGAGAAATACAGTTACGAACATTTATATAGAAAAATGGATTCAGTTAGAATGTCGAAAATATGGTAGGCCGTAATAACCACGCTTGAGATCAGATACCGCTTATAGCTAGAAACTAGAACCTATCCGTTAATACTAAATTAATACCTTTATTAACTTGCATTTATATATCATTCGTTTTTTTTAACTTTCTCTGCTAGCCTTAAGCACATTTATCCACATCAATAGATTATATTTCTGTACCAAGTTTTGTATGATTTATAAATTCAACCAAGCTTTCAAAATCTGCTTTCGGTTGTCATCTTTTGCAATAAATTGTTCACAAGCCCAAATCAAACAACATAATCGGCAAAGAGAAAAGCAAAAAGAAAAACTATTCAAGCGCTGCATTTGCCTTACAACATTTTCCTTAAGTAGAGGAAAGTAGCTGCTGACGTTGATCCTCAGCCAACTGGAAACTAAATCAACCGGGCTCGTGGAAAGCCTTAAATATTACATGAAATACCGAATCGCCAATGAGTCGCTGGCAATGGCAAAGTAAAATTCAAGAAGATGGTTATCTAACACGTTGGCTGAAGTTTCAATACTCTTTATTAACTGCTCTCCTTATATTTCCCTTTCAATTCAAGAGGTGAACGTACTACTGCTGTAGCGTTTCACATATTGTAAGAAAGTAACTTAATGTTAGGGCATTAAAAGAAACGAATTGCCCAGGCAAATTGTATGTCTTATAAATAATGTAAAAAGTGTGAAATGCGCCTAATGGTGTGCCACAGGACAAAAAGGATGACAGTTCAGGCAGAGAGATGAGCATACACCAACAGAAAACGAAAGAGAACGCAAGAACGAGTGAGAGTTGGAGCGAGAGAGAGAGAGAGGGAGAGTAAGTTCCTGTTGACAGGCATTTGGTCTGACGTTACATGAAATGGCGCATAAAATGACAATTGGCAGCTGATGTTGGGGGTTTCATACATTTTTGATGATGCACACAAACACACACACACACACACACACACACACACACACACACATCCACGCACACTCCAACGCTTACATTTACACTTGTGTAGTTCAAGTTTTTGGAGTAGTGAGAAACTGAGATCGATATAACATTTCTTTTGTTGTTTATTGAGTGTGGAAAACTTTAGTAAGTACTATATACATTAACAGTTTTCCACTAAACAAAACAAAGCCCAAAATTTCTCAGGCCTAAAGCTAGTTCAATTCAGATACATTTTCACGCTGTTTCCATACATATAGTTGAATAGTTGATTTTGTTCGGGTGGCATGTCCTGCAACTCTTGTCCACCGTTTGGTGGATATAAGTTTCCATCCTGTTTTCAGCGATACGGCGGCGTCTCCAACAAGAAGAATCCGGGCAATGTACAGACCCTGCACAGTCTCGCACACAATGTGATGCCCAAATTCTATGATGGCGTCGAGCTCGACTATTATCATCGATTGGCTCCAAATAAATTTATATCGGCCGCTTGGGTATTGAGTCATGTGAGAGCCGCCGGTTTTCGCTTTGGGGGTCTCTACACGTTTCGTGTACTTGATGATTTCATGGTAAGTTAATTAATGAATATGCACATAGCATATCTAATATTCGTCAATTTTTTGCACTTTTCAGTTAACGCCAACAATTGTTGGCGACATACATCCCACCACATTGGCAGCCAATTTGAATATACTGTATTATCCTTTCAAACCATTGCGACTGGAGGCCGTTCTGCAAAAGCCTGGCGAGGATGTGCCGGTGGAAACGCAATATACTATTGAGTGGACGCGACCCAGCGACACATGGGCAGCAAATTTTTACAATGTTCGCAATGAGAATGGACGTTGCACTTTGTCGGTAATGCGTTCCATTACCCAGCACTGGGCAATCGGTGGCGAACTACTGCTAGAGTGGAATGAGCCAAAGAACCTCATGACTGACTTGGCTTTTGCTGCGCGGTAAGTGTTAAGATATTCCCTGAATTATATAAATCGCATTTTGGGTGTCTTAGCTTTTATTATGAAAAATTAAAATAATTCTCTTATTTATTTTTTAAGAAGAGTGATTCTTAAGCTTAGTTGACTTAATGTTTGAATAACCTTGACAACTTTAATCAACACGAGATTCTTTCTATCTTCTGTTCGACTTTCAGCTACTCGCATCATCATTATTCCTTTGCGGCAACGGCCTCCCGTCAGGGTCTGGACGTCAGCTATTGGCAGCGCATTCATCCACAAATCCAGATGGCCAATCTATTAGCCTGGAATCGCAGTACACGCAAAACAATTGCCACCATATGCTATCAATGGAATTTCTGGAACTGTGCCGTACACGGAATGATCGATTCGGATGCGCTGGTTGGTTTCATGTGGACCAAGTACGTGTTAGCTGAAATAATAATTCTACGCATCTTATAACCGTATATTGTTGATATTCCTTAGATATCTATCTTATATACCGATACAAATGGGTTTCAGTGTGGTGATGAGTCTGCCGACTGATCGTTTTGCTTTCGGAATGCGATTTGTACTCGATCCGAGCGGTCTGAGACGCGGCGACTGAGATGTTTATATTAATGTTTAAATTATATTTTTTACCAAATTGTCAAATAATGTCATGTACACAGTTTAAAAAACGTTTGGTGTTTAATCAGAAAATTTGCAAAATTTGCGAGGTGTTTATTGAAAAACAAGGGCAGGAATTCTATATAATATCTTAAAAGTATGACTATATAAACGTTGGTAGTTCTAGCTCTGATTTTAAAAGTAGTTTCGTTAAATATCTTTAGTGCTTTGAAGATATCTTGTTATAAAATTAGTTCAAATGTAAACACAGCCGCAGGTCAATAACACTTTGTATAACAGAAAATATCTACAATATTCTTGAAATTGATAGAAAAACCGAAATTATATTTAATGCTTAGCACTCGACCAAACTAATTGCCAGTTCCTGTTTTTCCTTACATTTCGACTTTTAAATACATTTGCGGTGCTTCGCAAGGAAACACCAAAGCAACCAACTGAAAACTTGACTTAAAAGCATATAAATAAAATTTATAAAATACCAACACACATCCATAAATATATATGCACACGGGCACACACAGTCTTGCGCATTTTGGCACTTTCACAGAACTCGATGCCGCACATTAAGTATACGCAACGCAGACACACACACACACACACGCCTGCATACACAATAAGAACTACATTATGGCTACAATTTTATTTATTTTTATATTCTTATGCCCTGTAATAGAATGGATTGAAAAGGTATTCTCGATTTACTGCCGAATTCAGTGAGCCCCACCCTCAACGACTGCATACATTTTACTTCTTTTTTTCATATATTGAATAAAGAAGTCTATCGGGGATTTCTGGAATCTATAGTGTTTAATACTCACGCTGATAAAAGTTGCTAAGCATAGTAACAGAAAATTAGCTGCATTTAAAAAAATTTTAAAACCTATTAAAGAAAAAAAAAAATAGTGTTTAATATTCAAGAATAAAATATTTCCTAAACGAATTTGTATTTTCATAACATTCGCCTAAATTGAAATATATTTCTAAGTGAGCTTACAGGGTATTTCTTGACCAAACATTTAAAAGTAGCACACTTTTGCTTTCTGTTTTACTTGTTTTTGTGGCCGAAAAACTGCAGTAAGACTCTCTTCGGCCAATGCATTTGATTTATGCGCAGCAAAGTCTAGACACAGTAAATATTTTTTAATGCCACGCGCTGGAAACTGAGCAGAGATTTTGCTTAAGAGCAAAAATAAATTTCTAAAATAAATCAAATATGTACAATACATTTGCGGAATGCGAACAGAACTCAGCTGAGCTTCAGAATAATTTACTATATAAAGGCTGTTAATCCTCTTAAATGCATCGAGTGAGGCCCCAGATGGCTTATCAATTTAGTGGCGATGGAAAAGCTCAAGCGCCATTGACCCACAAAAAAATGGCAAAGAGTTACAGAAACACAAACTTTGAATTGATTTTGTTGTCGGGTACAAACTTTTAGCCCATTGAATTTTCTTTGTTCAAACATTTGTGGTAGACGCACATGCGAAAACTTACGGATAGACCCGAAAATATAGCTAGGGCAAACTTTGCATGCTAAAGTTTTCAATAATTTTACACCCACACAATCAGATGCATGGGACTGGGAGAAAAGGCAAATATTAATATTTCAATAAATGCGGAAAATCCTTTAACACTTTTCCTACCAATCGCAACAGTTTTTCTGCCTCTTCTTGTTGTTGTCGGTTGACGCCCGCCAGAGGGCGCCTCGCGCTTATCGGCGACTTTACAAATCATTAGATTTTCATATCCGATGAATTTTACAACAATTTTTAAAACATTTACCCAACAGCAAAAAGATTTTTGCACAACTTCCATATCTGTTCCTCGGCCCCTTTATGCCAACATTTTGTTGGCATTTTCGGCATTGGTATGTCAATTTGTTTGTTTTTCATATGTTGTGCGTGGGCTTGTGTGTGTGTGTGTGTGTGTGAAAGGGTGTCAGAGTGTGCATAGCATAAATTGTATATATGCTGCATATGCAGACGTACACCCTGTTGCCTTATTCATGCGCGTTTCGCCATTTTATGTTTATTTAAACTTCCTTGTAGGCACACGACAACGAATATGAATCGAGGAGAAGAGACAAAGACGAGTACAAAAACAAAAGCAACACCAACAACAATGCCCACTGAATCGAAAGCTGGCGACACACAGCACAGCAACAAAATAATAAAGAAATTCATAATAAATTATTATCAATCGCAGCAGCGAAAGGAAAGGAATACTGAAAGGCTTTCAGCAGATTTTCCCCGAACAAAACACAAAGGAAGTGCACAAGAGAATATATGTTTAATAATGAAATTAATAATAAAGATGCCGTCCAGCTGATAAACGAAATGAAGAGCTGAAAATTAAATATATAATGAGATATCATTTTACACAAGTAGCCCAAATGTTGATGCATCCCTTAAGCTGGGCGCCTGACAATCGAACAGGAATGAATAATATACTGATTGTTTTATAAAATTTCGCAAGATATTAATTGTTGCGCATTAATATTCAAGTTTAGACTGAACAATATCATCTAATGCTCTTTTAACTCTATCTCTTACTCTCGAATTATTTGTCTCTCTCTCGCTCTCTCTCTCTCTCGCAATCTGTCTCTCTCTATTTTCTTCTCTCTCTATCTCTCTGTCTCTTTATTTCCTGCCTATGCTGTGCCTATCTCTTAATTTACATTTTTGCTTTATTTTAATTTTTCTGTTATTATAAGGAACAATTTAAATAAAATTTATATGAATATTTACAAGCTACTTATTCAATGGTGACTATATAAATCGATCTGGGAGATCGATTGGGTGAAATCTCTTGAAGATATTTTTGTTAGTTCCATCCATCTTTATCGCGTGGTTATACAAGTTCTGAACTAATTTTCCCCAGATTGATAATGATTAGGCCCATAAATCCTTTTAAGTGGCTCTTAGACATATAGTAAAATTAATTACTTCTGCAGCTTAACAGCTTTTAACTTAAGGCAACGAGTACAAGCTTGACCAAAATAAAGCTAGATAAACCATGTTTAAACATGGTAAGCAGAAAACAAAACCCGTAACCCGTAAAGTATTTTAGTATGGAGAAACCCGAGAAAAACCGGAAAAAACTTGTTTGCTTGCACACCAACCAACACATTTATGTTTACGTTAAACAAAAAGAAAACCAGAAAAAATAAAAACACACCCACACACACACACACACAGCTCAGCATAGCATACTTTGTTTTGTAATTCTTGTTATTGTTTTGGTTTTTTTTTTCCTTTGCGTTTGGCTTTTCCAAGTGGAAAACATATTTAATTAAAGCTATCCGCATATTAAAAACTTTTTTTTCGTTATTTTGTTTGCATTTGCTTAAATTTTACACTCGCTAGAGGTTTTAGCTGCATACTTTTCAGGGTAAAATACTTAAGCTGCCACATTACGAGGCATAAACAAGAGAATTTGGCGCAGTGGGAGCCACTTTAAAGGCCAAAAGTGCCCCAAGGCAGCACGCGGGTCACTCAAGTTTTAAAAATATGCAAAATTTTAATGAATTTTTGTTTGCTGCCTACCCGCCCAGACCGCCCCACACTAACTTCCAACCCACCCACGTTCAACAAAACTCCATTGGCATGTCCCGAGGGTTGACGACCACTTAAGGAGCTTTAAATGCAGGTCAGCGTAGCTGTTCATTTGCTCTAAGAAGGCCAGAAGTGAAATCTGTTGTTAACAATAGACTTTCCTAAAATCAAACAGGAAAATTAACTATTATACCATGTCTCTTATACAAGTCTCTCTCTTATAAAAAATATGTTTGCAATATATTATTTAAAGTCATATTCAAAGTGTTATATATATAATCGAAATGCTAGGTCTTAAAGACATTTTAGTAATTAAAAAAAACTTTAAGAAGAGCAAAATGTAAAAAATTATAAAAATATTCAAGTTCTATTCTGTAAATTAAGAGAAAAGTCTAATAAAATCGTACTATCACTTTTTTTTAAACTTATTTTTACCTCTCTTTATTTGCAGCATCTCATCTTGGCCTTCTCGTAACTCGTCTTTAATGATTGTTCGACTTTTTCCACTTTTAATTTCACTCCTGTTTAGCACGAGTCATAAAATCGCAATTAAATTGAAAAGTTTTAATTTAATTGCGATGTTGCCTTGCAGTTAACTTTTTAATTCAATTTGCACCCAAGTGCCATTTGACTTGGCAGCGTATTAAATGGGCCACAGCATTAACATAATCAGCTCACATATGGCGGAAGGACGAGACAGGGGACGCAGTTGCAGAGACGGGCTTAGGCCGCGCCCTAGAAAAGGCAGCAACAAGTGGCAAGCAGAAGCAGCTGTTGAACTAAAACCGAACCGAATTGAATTTCAAGTAAGTAGCCAAAGAAAACGCAAAGTAAATGCGCTTAAAAGGCAGCAAAGCTTTTGACCAACTGACCAGAAGAAAAGAGCAAGTACAGAGGACTGGGGGTGGGCAGAGGAGTAAAAGAAAGGATGAGAATGGAACCCAGTAGTAGGGATACCTATTACCTTGAGCTAAGAGCTGGTCTAATACGCTGCTTAGCCTCGGCTTTGACCAGTGATATGTGCTCAGGCAAAAAGCTTTATTATTAAATTGAAGTGCCAATCAGGCGCAAACTGTGTTCATATAAGTCTTCAAACTCGCTTTTGTAGAAAAAGTTTTGATTTTCCTTGCAATAGGACTTAATAATTAAGCATAGGAAAAGGAAATACGTACGAAAGATTTACTTAATTCATACTCTTGGTGTTATTAGAACATGAAACTATTTGTGCGCTTTAGTCTATAAAAGCTTAACAACTTAGGCAATAATGCAAAAGCCTTTGAGGCGTTGTGGAAAGCTTTTAATGAGCTTTCAAGTTCAAGCTGCTGCGTTTAAAAAATGAATATGAGGTAATTTCTAAGAACATTTTATCTGAGCTAGAAGTTGTCTACTCGTGTGTAGCATACTTTCGACGCTGTTCAACAGGCCGACCGCAATTGGCGGCCATTTTTATTGGCTCTATCACTTTTGTGCCTTCATGAGTAACAGACCGCAGCAGCTGTTCGTCTAACAACAGGAA